GCCGCGGTGCCGGGCCATTAGCTGGTGGGGCCCTGCGTGTGGCTGGGAAAGCTGCGGGGGAGCTGGACAGCCTGAGTGCACGGCTAAGGGAGACAGCACAGCTGGTGAGTGCCAGCAGGTCTGAGGGGTGGGCATGGAGGGAGAGCCCACCATAAAACACCCAGCCTGGAGCTTGGTCTGAGGTTCAGTAGTCTGCGCAGTGTCTTGGCCTCTCCTTGGCATAGGGGGCAGAAAGCTGCTCTTGTATTTCCAGTGGGAATGTCACGAACAAGCTGGAACTTGGCCTCCTCATGGTGTTGGGATTAGCACTGGGATGACAGAAGGGTGAGGGATGTGGAAATACCTCAGAATCTGCAGGGATGCCCTAACGTTTGATGCAGCCCGCAGTGCTCGTGTTCGTGCTGCTGCACCTCTTTTCTACAGCCTCCAAGGGCTTGTGCAGATTGAGAAAGGTTTCAAAGTCATTCAGAATCCATTTCAAATGGGTTTGCAGAAGCTAAATGGTACTGCCTCTTTTGGGAGCTTTCTTTGCAAATCCAGCCCTCAGACTTTAACATTTATGCTCCTTGAAAACGATGGCGTGTTAGAAATGGAAATAGTGTAATTTCAAAGTGACCTGCTCAATTCACTGAGGGTTTAGGGAGGGCTGTTGGGATTCCAGGTCAAGTAGGAATGACTCCATCAGGATTTTGGTTTTTGCAGATTAAAATGACGGAGGCATCTGCTAATCAGATTCAAAGCAATGCCTTGCGGCTCATGGAACAGATGAGCATAACAAGAACCCAGATTGAAGGAGATGTCCGGCATGCCCAGCAGTTCATCCAGCAAGTTCGGAACTTCTTGTCGGGTAGCAGTGTGCAAGCTCACAGTGTGTGTGTGTGTGTGTGTGTGTGTGCAGGTTGGCTTCTGCATGGAAAACCCAATTTTTACAGTGATATTATGTATGAGAATAGTGTACAAAGGAGTCACTGAGCAGCTCATCCCGGCTAGACTCTCAGCTACCTGGTTTATCCAGACCTCTCTGGGAGTCTTTCACTGTCCTTAGGTCCAAGGGCAAGCCATAACCATGACAGATGCTCCCCAGAGGTTTGCAGTCAGCACTGACCACAGTGTAGAAGAGTTTAGCAGTGACCTTATGGACAGGAGATAAATGGACGTCTCTCTGGAACAGGCTGCTAATCGTGAGAGAATTCCTCATTGTCCTATAAACCAGTGGGATGACTTACTGTTCACAGACAGATTGTAATAACATAATAAGCCTCACGAGCATTAGCTGAATAAGAAAATCAGGTCACTTGGTGCTGCCTGGTGTTAATGATGAGGGAAGATATTTCTGAGCTAATCACTGGGCTAATGTCCCTTGGGCTCTGCCTGATTCCGATTCCTCAGATTTATTAACTTTTATTTGTGCAATAAAAAGGGCTTGTGTTGAAACACAGCCTTATCTACTCAGTGGTGCAAGCCCTGCCTGTGCTCTGCAGGAACGTGGGGCGCAATAGTGCCTCAGTCCCTCTATGCTTTCCATTTGGTGCTCCATTTCCATCAGGATGGGGCAGATCATGTTCATACTGAGCCTGCCTTTTAAGGACGGCAACTTGAGCTTGTTGATTAAACCAGAGTAGATTCTGGCAGCTGTCTGAAAGGAAGAGATGACGTGTAAGAGCATGCTGGACATCTGCCTTCACCTTCCTGCCTCTCACCTCTCTTCTGTCTGACGTTGTTCCTCTGTTTGCATGCAGACAAAGACACGGACCCTGCAACAATCCAGGAAGTCAGCGAGTTTGTTCTCTCTCTACGTCTCCCCACGGATGCTGCTGCAGTCCTGAGAAAAATGAACGAGATCCAAAGTTTGGCTACCAAGCTGCAGTGCCCAGAGAACATACTTGCCCAGACAGCTGAGGACATTGCAAAGGCCAAGCAGCTGCAGCAGGAGGCAGAACAGGCAAGGTCAGCTTGGCTGAAGGCTTTCGGCAGCTGAGGGTCACTGAGCCAGAGGGAATGTGCTGATGCTCAGCTGGGGTGAAATCTGACTGTGCTTCTGTGTATGCATGGTGGCTAAAAGGATGTATTTGCAGTCTCTACGGAGTCTTCTCTGATACTTCGATTCAAATAAGGATCTGGCTGCCAAGAATAGATCTTGTTATGGATCTTAGAGCAAGAAACTCTATACCAAAAGTAACAGAGAATTTTCTCTATTTCTCAAGACCATATAAGGGGAGATGATGGGGTGGCTCTGTTATTGATATTGGTGACCCACATTCTGATCACACGAGAGAGCACGAGGGGATTAAATGGGCTATTTGTTTTCTGGGTGAAAGTTGGGAGGATTATCCCATGGTCCCTTCAAAAGCAATTACACAGAGCCCTTGCAAATTTGGAGCATCTGCTTTGTCATGTGTTGAATTTTAAGCAATATCCCGGTGAGAAGGTGAGTGGGATAAGTATGTAAACTCCTTTATAGTGTCTGACACCTGCTTAGCCTGTTGGAATCGATGAGACAAAGCAGTCTGGCTTCTGTTATGATGTGGAATACCAATGAAAAACCATGACACTATGGGGAGCTCTGTCCTCCAGTCTAAATAGTCCCAGTGAAAAGCAGATAGTATGCAGTGAAGTTGGTTCCCTTTAATTTCCCTTTAATTCTTTTTCCTGCACCCTTGCAAAGCAGTTGTTTCTACATCTCTCCCCTTCTCAGTTCATTTCCTCTGTTTGGGGATGTGAAATGGAAGTAACACTTCTCTTGAATGGAAATCTACTCTATGGCTATTCTATACTGTGTCTGGATGTGTGTGGGGTGATCACAGCCTTCTCCATTACAGTATTATCTTGCTTCCCCAGCTTGCTTATTTTGCCCCTGCAGTCCTGATATCCAGTCCATGCAATTCTCCACACTCACTCTGGCTGTTTCTTGTGTTTCTCCAGGAACCGGGCGAATGCTGTGGAAGGCAATGTGGAAGAAGTTGTTGGGAATCTGAGACAGGCAAACACAGTGCTGCTGGAGGCTCAGGGGGCTATCAGGGGCTCAGGTTCTTCCCTTCGGTTCATTCAGGAGCGCGTCGAGGAAGTAAGTGGTGTTCAGTGACTTCCCAAATAACAGCACTGCTCCCTGCTCTCTGCTGCTTTGCTGCTTTGCAGTGGGGTACAGCCCTGTACCAGCAAAGTGGGTGAGATATTTTGTGTAAAAAAAAAAAACCCTATTCCCTTTTGGGTCTCACTTGTCTGTTTCTCTGAGCTCCAGGCCTGCAAGGAGGAAATCCGTGGGCCCTCACTGCACAGAAGAAAAAGTTTTTGTTTGCAATTTCCCTCTTAACATGGAGCATTCTGCTTGTAGATCGAGGCAGTGCTTGGTCCAGCTGAGAAGAACGTGGGCTCGGTGGCAGCCCAGCTGGCTGTGCTGGCAGAGAGGCTCCCTGGGCTGCAGCAGACAGCAGGGCAGAACCGGCTGCGGGCCGGCGATGCGCAGCAGGCAGCAGCAGCAGCAAGCGAGGAGGCCAACGGGGCTCAGCAGGTATTTGGCCTTGCACCGTGCTCCCTCTGGCTTTCTCAATCTTAATGCCTTTGGCTCAAGACCTGTTTCTGCTCTCTGCCCCACCTGAGGCAGAGCAGCCCGTGCAGATGCCAGTCAGCATCTTTGTGAGCACGCTGTGCATCTGCATGTTAACGTGATTGCAGAGCTCTAGCACAGTATCTCTTTAGTATTTAAAATGGGTTCAACACTGGTAAATCTTCACCAGTTTATTTGCTCAGTCCTACATGTGCTGCTGCTTAATTTACTTTTCCCCAGGCTTTCCAACGAGTGAAAGATATGTATGCAGAGTTGAAGAGCAGAGAGGGGCAGAGCCCTGCGCTGGGAGCACAGGGCAGCCGTGTGCAGAGCATAGATCTGGAGGCAAAAGCTCTCTTTGAGGAAACGTGGAACATGATGCTCCGTATGGAAAGTAAGCCTCTGAGCTCGGGGTGATGGGCAGGTGAACTGGGGCTTTTGGGTGCCAGAGGGGTTGGGATTTTTAGGGCAGAAGAGAGGGGTGCAGGAGGGAGGAGGGGTTCAGTCCAGGAAGGCAGGCTGCACACAATGTCTTCCTCCAGTTATGATCTCACAAAACCTTCCCTGCCCTCTCTCCTCAGCTTTGGAGACAGAAATTCAAGAAAGCAACAGAGCTCTTGTGGCCAAGTCAGCCAGGCTGTCAGGCCTTCAGGAGCAGGTGGGCAGGATCCGGGATGCCATCCATAAGCGAGTCACCTACTATGAGAGCTGCTCCTGAGTGAGGCTGCACCTTCCTGCTGCAGACACCGACTGCTGTGTTGATTCCCATTTTTCTGGCAGGATTTCTCACTTTCCTAATGTCTGTATATTTAGCAAATGGGATTTCTGTCCTTTTGGAAAGGAGCTGCACCGAGCCAAAGGGGTGAACACCCCTCGGTGGGTTCATGCTGGTTGGTACACTTGAAGCTACCTGGGCATGGAGGAGAAGGACAGACACAGAACTTCAGCTACAAATATGCACATCCCCCACATTGTTATTTCCAGAGAGGTTAAAAAAAAAAAAAACACAAACGTTTTAACCCATTCAAGCTTTTGTAGCTGGATTTGCTGTTCAGACAAAACCCATTATGTGGGGCAATGCAGTTCATGCTTAGAACTTGCCATGGCTGCGGTCCTTCCCTCCTAGATTTTTCATCAAAGATTCAGATCACAGAAATGGAGAATTTTATCACTGTCGTATCTACGTAGCAAACCTCTATTTCTGCAACTAGGAGAAATGCAATCTCATACTCAAAACGTGTGATGCTGAATGTCTTCTTTGACTTTCTGCCACAATCTTCTTATTTACTGTGTAACACTTTGCCAGAAAAATATCAGAGCGAGCAGTTCTGCAGCTGCTCAGGGGATGCTTCAGAAGGGACTTAATAGACCATTTCCACATCACATTTCTACGAATAACCAACAGGCACTTTACAAAACAAAAGTCAGCTTTATTAAGCAAGTATTTATTGTGCAATTACAGACTTGGAAGCAGGGAATTTAGACCTCGCTGTGGTTATTAACAGACATAGGGAGGTTGCTAGCAGGTTGTCTCCTTTTGTAGCTGAAGTGAGAACCACGCAGCCTGGGCAGCTGCTTGGCACCGAGCTGCAGAGAGCTGAAGCCTGGGAGAAACCAAAATCGAAGGAATGGGAAGGATGCAGGTTGTAAAAATAACTGAGCTGCCACTGAATAAAACTCTGCATGGCTTTGGTTTACAGGATTTATGCTGTGCAGTGCACTTGTTATGCATCGGACAACTTAACAGTATACAGAAAACAAAAGCTTACAGCGTTGAGCAGTGTTGTATGGATAATATACACTATGCTAGCAGCAGCCTCAGACTTTCCCTTGCTAAAGTGCCTTCTCCCAGCATTAACGATCAGAAGCAGGCCGAGGTCGCCGCGCTGATGGATTCCCAGCATTTCTGTGCTGCTCATCACCGCGTCGCTGCTCTCCGTGTCGCTGCTGCCTGTCAGCCCCTGGCGGGACACAACATCCTTTCTTCTTGCTTGCACTGTTGATGTCTGGCTTTGAAGTGCAGAAAAGAGTAAAACAGCCCTTCTGTTTCTGCAAGAGTGAGAATTTCAATTGGGAATTGAACTTTGTTTCGCTAGACTGCTGCCTTCACAGTGTGCTCTGTTAATAGGCGGCAGCAGCACGGGGGTTAGGAGCAGCTTAGTTCCTTTTGTATGCTGCATTTATAAAAGGCTGTTACCTGACTGATCACTGGAATTGACCTGTTTGGAGTCTAGTAGATCTTACTTGCATTTGTCTCATCTATTGATCCTTTGTACGTTACAGTTCTGTTCGTGTGATCTCATCAGTAGAAAAGGTCATAAAAGATGATAAGATGCAGCTCACTTGATGTAGTTTCCAGGGAGATTTATGCTGGCCCATGCTCACCTTTTTGGAACATCTTCTCAGCCAGAATCTAATAGCAGTATTTCCTACTGCTTATACACAACATGTCTCAAATGTTAATTTCGGAATTAATCTGAGCTATGACCAAACAGGAGGAAACTTTCATTTTCTTACTTCTCTGGCATTTGTTGCTCACCTACACAACCCAACATCTCCATATCATGCTGATAACAAAGCAACTGGAACTGACCCAGCTGGACCAAATCTGGGCCAAGGATGGGCTGTTCAGGCCATAATTGCCTTTGAAACCAATTGATTTTAGAGCCAGTGGGCTGGTCCACCTGGAAGTCAAATGATGACTTCTTCCTCAAGAGATGGCTTAATTAGGGCTTTCTCTGTTGCAAAATACCTGCAAAATCAATTTGTTTCTGTACAGTCACTTTGCTAGTTGTGCCTTTCCCATTTTCATGCTGTAATGGGTTTAATTGCAAGCAGCTGGTGGTGGGATGGTGTGCACTTACCGTGGCGATGGGGGATCCTGCTGGCTGCCTTCCTCATCACATGATCAAACAAACTCCAGTTTGCCCAGTGCCACAGTGAGATGAGTGCTTACCAGTCTTCATTGGAACGAGAACTTCTGATTTGAAATGGCTGGATAGAAATGGAAGAATTGGAAGAGAAAGATGGGAAGAAAAAAAAAAAAAGAAAAGATAAACAGCTGTGTTTATGGTCGTTCTGCAGGTGAATTAAAGTTGTGTTTTTTATATAAAGAGTGTCATCTGCTGAAAGCAAAGTAGAGCTGGAGTGCAAGTCAACACTGCAGCAAAGGCAGGGTCCACTCAGCCAGCAGCTGCTGAGCAATTGGCATCAACAGCTCTAACCATACATCATCTCAGCTTCTGGAAAGCAAATGCACTGATGGCAGTGGCAACCAAACCCCCACCACCTCAGCTCACTGCAAGCCTTGCTGTGCAGCCTGGGCACTGTGCCTCACCTGCTGCTCATACAAGCACAAAAAAACGCTTGGCTGGGTACTGGTGCAATGTTTGCTTCTGTCCTTTTCCTCCCTCCTCTCTACTCCACCTGGAGCTGGCAACTTATGTGCCAGGCAGCAACTTCCAGGCAGGGTTATTCCCATACACTTTGTCGGAAGTCTCGGCTGATAACGTGGATACCTACTGGGATTTTGCAGGTTTTTTAAGGAGCACCATCTCGGAGCAGAAGGATGCCTTGGCTCTCTCATGCCCTGTGCACACTGGGCTGCAGCCACACGATCTGGCTGGCGGGCTCTGGTTGTCTGGTGATCCATTCAATGGGGGGCTTTGCAGCTTGCTCTCTCTCATTCCTGTGCCTTGCTCCAGCGGAGCAGGAGGGGCCGGACAGGGGACCTGGGGCAGTGACATGTCCTCGTCCTTGCTGGGCATTGCTGGCTGCGTGGTGTTGGGTGTGCTGGGTCTGGGTGCTTCAGAGCCTTGTATAATTGGGTGGGTGCTGCCAGCCGTGGCGTGGCCATTCATGTGCAGCTTCCTCATGTGGTGCACCACGGCTGCGGCATTGAAGGCTTGCTGGGGAGGAAGAGAAAAACCCCACAGTGAGCACAAGCACCCAGTGTGCTGGATGAACGTTGTCCATACGAAGCAGCAGCAGGGTGGTAATGCTGAGCTGCTTGGTGCTGCTGGAATGTTTGCACAATGTGCAGAAAATGCTCGTTCCTGGCATAAACATGGCGAATGCCACAGACTACAAACTGCTGATGCTTTTGAAGATTATAACTCTTTCTAGATAAGGAAATCAGGGGGAACATCTGTAAATTACCCCACAGTGTGGAACGGAGACTCAAGCTGAATTTTGAGTGTATTTAAAACACTCTAATTCAAGTGGTTCCTACGATATTCCTCTCTCCATCTGAATTCTTACAAAAGCTCTTTTGATATAGACTGAAGTACCAGGTCTGAAAGGAGGAGAAGCTGGATTAAGCTCACAAAAAGATCTGCTGACAGCATGCTGGTTTTGTTCCCCTAGCACAAAGAGAGCAATCCTTTTCCCCAGCCCTTGTTTTGTTGGGAAGGGCACTGTGATGGCATTATAGTGTCCATGGTAAACAGATCAGTGTGCATTGCAGTAGGTAATGCTGGTCCAAGCATACCATAAAGAGTAGCTGCATATGATTTTCAGACAACTTTTGGAGGGTTTTGGGTGCTTACCCATCCCAGAACCTTGCTTGTTGCTAGATGGCAGCAACTGGCGTTTGCTATTGAAATGGCTCTGGGCTCCCAGTGGCGAACAACTTACCCTCCATTTGCTCTTTGCAAAGTTTTTCTGAATCTGAGCACTGACAGATGGGTATATGTCACGGTGAAGGGCTGTATTTCCATTAATCCTGCAGATGGGGAGAGAAGAAAATGGGCTCATAGGCAGATGGCATTTGTAAGTCATTCCACATTCTGGAGGCAACTAACTGCTTTGTACATTCAATCAGCATTAATTAAACCCAAAGGAAAAACAGCAACAAAATGTAACACAAACACACACTTCAAAGCTCAGAAAAGCCCAGAATGGGATTTCTTCTTTGCCTCTGTTTATGGAGACAAATATTACACCAATTGCACCTTTAATTATTCATAGTTCTCTTTGTTTGGCGGAGGTGGCTGATGGCACTGCCAGGCTGGGGGACAACTCTCACCATGGGTGCCTCAGGGCTTCTTCACAGGAAAACCTTGTGTCCGGGTTCTTCTCCAGTAAGTGCCTGATGAAATCCTTGGCTGTTTGGAAAGGGACGAGAAGCAGAGAGGAAAGGTTATTTTCTCCCCGTTCCAGGATGAGATCCTAATAGCAGAGGGCAAACACTCATAGATAAACATCACAAAGGTCAGCGTGGGAAGGAGGTGTTTGCACCACTTCATTACAGTGGTGGAGGGAGATATGTGTGGTGAAACGCTTCTGATGGAAAAATGTCACCTGCACGTGTACCTAATTTCAGCTTAGATGGAGTGAATGTGAACTGAATTTCTCACTGCCAGTAGAAAAAAAATACAAAAGTTGGGACTGAGAGGTTTTAGAAGTGGCTCTAAAGAACAGCCTCCTATTTTCTTTTCTTTTTTTCCTCTTCTTTTTTTCTCTCTGCCCACACAGCTCAGCTTTGGCATCGCTGCCCTGCCCTGCAGTGCTGGCAGCTGCTGTGGGCTGTCCCCATCCCCACGGCCAAAGAAGGTGAAATGCTGCTGGGCTCTACCTGACTCGGAGATGTCATCCCAAAAAGGAGACTCAAACTCGTAGTAGCCTTCCTTGATCTTTTCAAACAGCTTGGACTCGGTCTCTTCGTAGAAAGGTGGGTACCCACACAGCCTGGAACAGAGCAGAGGGGCACAAGCTGTGTATCCACATGAGCTTGGTGTGGTTTGCTTAGGCTGAGCACGTGTGTGCAACACGAGGGAGTGAGTAACAGGAGGCTGCTGTATGGATCCATCTGTCCCTAAGTGCATGGGGAAAGCTGCAGAAAAGAGTTAAAAACTGTGCAGCAAAAGAACAAAGCAACAGCTGGAACAGAACTGCATGGTGTGGGAGGAAATGAAACAAAACATACAGAGGAAGACTGAATGAGAAAAACAAAGCACAGGGTGAGGCACATAATAGAGAAAATGCGATTCCTTTCATCTCCTCTCCAGTTCTTGATTCCCACCACCCCTTTCATTTCTATGGTCTGGAGGATCTGTGTGAAGGAGGAGAACACTGCAGTGCTGTCACGAGGAAGGAGAGGGCCGGCACCGCCTCTGCTCATGCTTCCATGCTGCAGAGGTGCATGAGGCAGTGCACGAGCTGGGAAACGTGGAGATGGGGAGGGCTGCTGCCCTGCTGCTACTCACAGGATGTAGGTGATGACTCCGATGGACCAGCAGTCCACAGCTTTGCTGTACGGTTTCTGGGCGAGGACTTCAGGAGCTGCAGAAAAGCAAAAAGAAATGCAAATTGCAAGCAATGGTAAACTCTGGGAAAAGGAGAAGATCCTCATGCAGTTGGCTTCTGAGAGGTCAGCACAGGAGCCAGTAATGGCCCTACGCAGCAGTTGGATTGCTGCCTGCCTTTTGTATCCACTTCATGCTGTTGAATAGAATGACCCACTGAGGACTTCTGCCTGCACCCAGAGGCTCTGACAAGCTGGATGGAGGCAATGCACTTAGGTTGACATGAAACAAAATCCCACAGTGTTAAATTTTTTTTGTTGTAAATTTTCAATAAATACGTGGCTAACAGCAAAACTCACTGCTCTTAGAATTACCCTTTAAACACTCTGATTTTGTGGTCTCCAAAACCATCAGTAATCCACTTTTTGTGGGGTCCTGCAGTGCTGCCTCTGTGACTGGTGTGTTGTTGCTAAGGTGGCTGTATATTTTTCCCTTTCATGTTGTAGGGGCACAGCCCTTTTCCTGGCAGCCCACCACAGCATCCTGTTCCCAGCTCTCAGCTCACCAACATATCCTGGCGTCCCGCAGGCAGTGGACATGATGCCGTTCTGCTCCATCTTGGACAAACCAAAGTCTGTAATCATGATTTTGGAGTTCTCTTCAGGAGTGAGGTAAAGAAGGTTTTCAGGCTGTGAATACAGAGAGCCAGAGGTTGAAATTCATGGTGGAAAAATGAAGAAAGCTACGGGACGGAGGTCGGGAAGTGTGCGGCCAAGGGCCAGACTGCACCTTCAGGTCACGGTGGACAATCCCGTTTTCATGCAGGTATTTCACGGCTGTCAGGACCTGGTGGATCACCACGCTCGCATCTTTCTCAGTGTAGACCCCTCGTTCCAAGATCCTGTCGAACAGCTCTCCACCCGACACCCTGTTGCAGAAGAAGATGAAAAATAGACAGGCGATCGTGTGCTCTCCTCCACACAAGCCATGACCTTTCAGGCCCTTTACAGCTCCTCCTGCAGCACAGCTGCTCTCAGGCAGCAGCTCAGCAGCCAGCAGGCTCTCCTGAGTCCATTTGGAGCATCAGGAAGCATTCCTAGCAAATCTTTGACTTCTAGAATGGCTGTGCTGAGCTGCAGTGTGCTGTGGCTCTGCTATACTTACAGCTGCATCACCAGGTAGAAGTGGGTTGTGCTCTCATAGATATCTTCCAAAGTCACGATGTTTTCGTGCTTTATTCTGCAAAGACAAACCTGGGTCAGAAACGAACCTGACAAGGACCAAGTGGCTTTTCCAGCTGAAAACCCAGCCGTCACACTGCTTTCAATACAAGTGACAGTTCACCAGGCTGTTCCGTGCCTGCACAACCTGCTGCATTCCCATACCTGGGGCTGTGGGGAGAAGTAACTCCGTTAGTGTACTAATTTACATATTATTTGAAAAGAAATACTTATTTCTTTGCATCAGTTTCACTTTGGAACCACATCTTGGGAAAGGGTGTTAGTTCTTTACATGACAACGTATGCATGCATGTGTGAACTCACTTTTTCAGCACTGCTATCTCGTTCTCCAAGCTGCTGTCCCTTGTGAGCGGGGACTTCTTGATGCACTTCAGAGCAAAGAGCTTCCCAGTGCTTCTTTGTTTCACCAAGAAAACTTCTGAAAATGCACCTCTGCAAAGAGAAGTGTGAACAGGGGGAGACTGACAGATAGGAACAGGAAAAGCAGGAAAAAACAACCTGGGAATGGTTTAACACCAAGTGGATGTTGGTTGGAAAGCTGAAGGTACATTTCCAGCAGCCCCAGAGTTAGGAAACACAATGCAAGATTTTGTACCAAAAAAAAAACCACGACAATTTTCTCTTATTGAGGAAAGATTATGTTTGCATAGTTTATCATGGAGCTATACTGAGGGAGTGGACAAAGAATTTCCCTGCAGTCAAATTAAGTGATGCCCTTCAAGGCTGCCTGCAGTGCTTGGTATGATCCTGATGAGGGTTCAGCTTGGCGTGGCCAGGAGTGGGTATCTGCAACATGTCCTAAGCTTGCAATCCTGTTAGAGGCTTTTCTCAGGCAGCAGAACACGTGTCTTGGGACAGTGACAGTGCATGCTTTGCCAGGTCAGTCCGCAGTAATCCTCATCAAATGAGCAACAGATTAATTTGTGGCGGTTAAATGGGACGAGCTGCTGAGCCTACAACCCTGCGAGGCAGTGGTGGGTAGAGAGAGGAAGGTGAGCATGGTGGAAGCGTGCTGGTGGGATGCTATTGTAGCAAACCTGTCAAACAAGGGCAGAAAACCTGTAGCTCCTGTAATCTCCTGAACAAAGAACACAAGGCACAGATGGGTTTGGTGGTGCAGTTGGTGCCAGGACCTTCTCCTCGTTTCATGTTTTCCTCTTTCACCCCTTTGAGCCCTGAAGGCTTTCACAGAAATGCTTTCCACACTCCTGAGGGCTCTCAAGGAATGGGCAGCACAGAGGTCCCTAATCCGATAGCTAAGGATTCCCCATAGAGATGATGGGAAATTTCCTAGTGATTTTAAATCCCAGATCTCCATTTGCTTTCCTTGGCCAGCTGAAGCAACGCGTGTGGAAAAAAATCCTAAACTCTAATACTAAATTATCCTATTAATGTAGTAGTAGGAAATGAACAACCTACAAATCAGATGCTGGGGCATCTGTTCTATATATCTGTCCCGAACAGTTTATAATAATTATGCCCCTTATTAAAAAATTATGACTCAACAAGTTGGCAAGGAGAAACCAAGCATTTCTTCTTGCCTTCTTCCTTGAGGGGAAGCTGTTGGGTAACGTCACTGATTTTTGAGGCTGACCAGGAACATGAGAACCTAAATCCCAGCCGAGCTCTGGCATAGCTGTGTTTGGAAGCCTTGCTGTGGGTTCTACAGTCATGGAAAATCTGGACATGGCAGAATTTCCTGCTGGAGGTGATTCAATTCCTCCTCCACCACCTTAGAAACGCTTTCTCGTCTCATTCAGACCAATAGGCAAATTAAGCTGTTAACTCCCAGGGAAATATTGTACAACTCGAGCAGCCACGCTCTCGTTTCATCCTTCAAGTGACTCAGGGTTTATGAGATAAAGACACGGCGTTATTAAACCTCTCAGAGCCATCCCTTGACCTTGCTTGACCTTGCAGCAGCAGATCGGTGCATTCACAAGGAAAAGAGCAAAGCCCCATCCAGGCTGTGACTGGAGGGCAGAGCAGGGCTCGGGCTGCTGCACCTTGGGGGTACTTACGATCCCAGCGCCTCCATGAAAATGAACGTCTTTCTGATATTGCTTGTCTGTTTCTTCCAGGAGCTGCTGTCATCCTCTTCCTTGCGGCCCATCTCCTCCAGAGTGGAAGCAGGGAATGCTGTGAGAAAGAGGGGCAGAGAGCTGAGGGCTGCGGTGAGGGCTGGCATGGCAAGCAGGGCTGGCTCAGGGTGCCATGCACAGCGCTCACCTGGATTCAGGCTTTTCAACACCACTGAAGTATGGGGAATTTGGTGCTGCTTTTGCTACTTAACAGCTGTTGGTGCTGCTACATCCAGCTCCAGCTGCTGATGCAGCATAACACTGGGTCAGCTGGGCATTGCACACTGCGGTGCTGCCTAGTCTCTGCCCTCCTCTGGTACATGTTGCCCATCACAAATGTTCCTATTGTGCTAAAAACTCTGCTAATGAGTATGGCTGCTAATTTTAGTGAAGGCACCCATGGCTTAATGGGTTAAAAAGTTAGGCGCAACGAACAACTCAGAAGGATCAAAGCTGATCTAATTTATTACTTGAGAAATGGTTGAAAGAGCTTGAGACTGCAGGAAAGGGAATTGACAGAAAGCACTTTGTCGATTTGCTGTGGGCAGTTTACACTGCTGTCGTCTAATTGTTGTTAATTGAGTCATGACCTTCCCGCTACCTGCTCCCCACTGTGCTCCATGACTGATGCCAGCAGTGAGAGTCGAGCCAGGTGTGGGGAGAGAGCATCCCCAGCCCTGAGGAGGAGGATGAAGGTAAAAGGAAACACAGCTGGGTCTTCACTGGCCTGACTGATCCCAGGGTTATGGTGACACAATGGGCAGAGACGGAGGAAAACACAGCTGTGTGCAGTCAAACCCCGCCGTGCTGCGTGGTGGCTGGGCACCCGTCATCGGGGTTTGGCTGTGGGATGTCACAGGAGGTGTGCTCTGTTTGGAAGCATGTGGGGATTGCAGGCTGTCTGCCCTTGGCAGTATCCCAGCTCCCTTCTCTAAGCACTGCTGTCACACAGAGGAAATGCTGTGTGAGCTCACTGGAGTGGTGGGAGAATTAGGAGAGCTTATAGGGGGCCTGGAGAAGGGGGGGGGGGGGGGTGAAACGTTATACAAGTGTCTGAGCACTCTTAATAAGATCAGGTCTAACATTACAGAGCTGGGAGTATGCTGGAAGGTGAAAATGAAGCCATGGGAGGGGAAAAGCGATCAAAACACTTGGTTTTAACATGATGGAGATATGAAAGAAATGGGCTGAAAGCAGCCATGAGCATCGCCCTCCCACCAGCAGGAAGAGATGCCCTGGGCTGCAAGTGCCTTCGGGGCCAAAGCTCCTCTTGTGCACAAGGGCTCGGGAAGGGGAAAGTCTTGCAGCAGAGAAAGCTGAAAGATGTTCTGTGCCAGTCACCGTAGGTGCTTGAATTCCTCCTGAACCTCATTGACCTCCTTAATTAGTGCACCTTTGGGATTTCGAGATCCTTGACACCATTTTTTAGAGGTTAATTTAACGTTATGGAAAACTGAACTGACTCAATTGCAAACAGCTGAAGGCTCTGCTCTGTGAAATCACCGAAGGCCGCTGTGCATTTGACCTTTATTTACTTTCTGTATTCTGACGCGTGTGAAACTCTCAGAATTACAAATATTTACAAAAAGAAAACAAAAACCAGCCATAACCTTACGTCTGGAACCAGCCAAGTCCAAAAGTTCTCCATCATAATGGTGACCCATCAGTAGAAACCTCCTCTGGGTCTCAGAAGTGGAGTTTCCACTTTACAGTCACCATCCATCCCACCTTCTCAATCTCTGCAGAACTGGAGTTTCACACGAAAGCAACCCTGAGCAGAGATGTCCGGCTGCAGACGGAAGGTGTTTCTGATTTAGAATGGATTTTCCTTCTAGAAGGAAGACAGCAGCCTGTTTTCTTCAGTCTCCCGTGAATCATCTGTTGGTCTTATAGTTTCTCCTTCTGTCGCTCCATGCACGCAGCATTTGGTTGTGCTGCTGTCTGGAGGGAGGGCTGGATGAATCGCTCTGACTCCATACACGTGTATTTGATTTCCTGCTTTCTCAGTTTTTCTCTATCACTGCGAGCAAGTCATTTCCTGCCTCGCTGCCTTCTGAGAGAAAGGGGAGTAAGTAAGTGGTGCTATTTTGAGAGCAAAATAATCCAATGTTTGAATTGCCCAAGATGTAAAGCTGCATACGTACTCAGGCAATAAATACTCGCCCACCTTCCCCCTTTCCCAGCACCAGATTTCCTTCTTTTCAATACGGTTACCTCTGCTGCCCACAGGACCCGTTTGCACAGGGCTTTGTGCTGCCTGGTGTTTCTGCACTCTGGGACCTGGGATTTTCCCTGTGTGGGCTTTGTGATTTTATCTTTTCCCACCTCTCTCAGTCTGGTTAAGGCACCTGTTGCACTTTGCACTGGTTCAAGGCACTGGATACATCTGTGGGTTATTTTTTTGTTTATTCTGACTCTGGTCCAACACCCTGACCTTTCTCAGCATGTGAGTAAACAGGGTTCCATGGATCCATTGGCTCAGCTGGAGCTTTGCTTTCCACAGGAATGCAAAACATCATAGCAAAAGTTGGGCCGGCAGCCTTTGAGCTTGGGGCAAGCTTCCTGCCCTCCTGTTGTGCATCAGACCCTTCCATGCCCCTCCTCGAGCACAGCCCTGCAGGAGGATATCCATGAGCAGCGGGATGTGCAGAGGGAATGGGACGGAGCGCACCCTGCACGCACCAGAACGCACGCTGCTTTCAGCTCCTGACCGGTCTGGCTTTGCCCACCTACCTTTAACAGTGCATTAACAGCAATGTGTTAAGACCGTACAACGAAATGGACAACGAAATGTACAAAAGGTCCTTCTGAGATGAAAAAGAAGGGCATAACACTGCTTTCATTTGTTTCCTTTCCCCCAGCATAAACAACTAAGCCGCCTGCAGGACTCTGGTCTGATGAGCGCAAACTGAAAGCAGTGGTTCCAACATTACTGCCAAGCTTTGGGCTCTTCCACAGACCTGGTCAATAAACACAACTGCTGCTGTGCTCTGTCTGATCCAGCAATGGCATGTCGCTGCTTGGAATGTAATGAGTGTTATTATGACCTTGCTTAAATATTTCCTGTAGAAATCTGTTCGGCTCCATATCTCACGGTAACAAATCCTTCTGCAGACAAGCATTGGGCTCCTGAATGGATATACTGCACTAGCAAAACGGTTGTAGGCATGATTAATAGTCTTGTGACAAAGTTACATGTGGTGGGGGGAAGATATATGGTTCTCTCATGATTCTGCTTTTGGAATTAGAAAGAAGTTTAAAGCAATATATATATATATATATATATATATATATATAAAGGAGGAGAGCACAATGTCAAAGGATTTGTTTTCAAAATACACCAAAGCAAGCAGTCTGCATGTGAAATTAGCTGCCAGGCCTCTGTGTTCGGGGACAAAAGACTGAGAAACTGAAAACACAGCTCGCCATTAAAGGCAAATCCACATCAAACCGCCCCACTGATTCAAAAGCAGTGCTGTAACTCGGCGCTCCTCGACGAGCCACTTGCAAGATGACATTTATCAATACGAGCATTTTGGATTCCTACGGTAGTTCTGAAGTGAAAATGCCAGGCGGCAGCTTTCTATGAATTGCTCAGGATCACACGCGGGGCATCAGACCAACAGCCCCGCGCTCGTAGGTCCTCCGGGATCCTCCCTCCCATTCCGAGCCACCATTCATTCAAAAAACACAGCCAGGTCAGCCAGCACACCGCCTGCTCTGCTGCACGGATCCGCCAGGGAATGGTTATGAAGAAATAAGATTTCGCTTACCCAAGTCAGCAGGAACAAAGCCAGTCGGACCCCGGCGCTGCCGCTCTGCTCCACAGCTCTGGGGGGATTAGGGCTGCTGGTGGCAGCAGGCAGAGGCTGCGGGAGGAGAAGAGATGGCTCCGCCGTGCCGGTAGCTAGGCAGCACTTACAGGGAGTCAATTGACACGAGAATAAGCAGCTTGTGGGTGTGCATGTGTGCACACGTCGCCGTGCATCGCAGCCGTGGTACCTGGTGCGGGGAGCGGGATGGAGCGCTGCCCGGCTGGACGGCCAGGTGCTGGGCTGCTCCACTGCCCTCCAGCAGCCGGCGTGGAATTGAAACAGTGCTGGGGGGGGGAATGCAAATGCGATTAGCTTTCATCAAACGGATGACTTCTCGGGATTAAAAATACCCCGTTTGCTTCTCGTGATGCTGAAGGGCTGCGGGGCTGGGCAGGGCGCACTGTGAGCAGTTCCAACTGAGCGAGTTGGGGTGCTGCTCTCCACCATCCTAATATGGCACAAAACCCCAGAGAAAAATGACACTAATTAATCTAATTAATCTCCATCCGCAGTGTTTTAGACTATTTCGAACCAATCGTTGCATTGACTTCCAGAACCCGTCTGTCACCTTCCTGGGAAGCGCAGCACATGAGTACAGGAAATATTCACTACTCTTCAAATCTTTCCCATCGTGTGAAATTTTTAGGGAGGACAAAACCAACTTTGCTGACTGCACTCTGTTGATTCACAGTGTCATCTAAAGCGATGCACAACGGATGTCTATGTTGCCAAGTTCAGTTTGTTATCAGGAACAATCAGCTTTAGGGCAGCACTGGATCACATTACTTTTCTTAAGATTTGATTGTTTCATTAGCTTTATTACAAAGAGAAAGCAGTTCGGAACTCTCCCTTTCTTTGCTGGTCAGACTCCATCAGTGTGAAGCCCAGAGTCAGGATTGGGTCACAACTTCTGGGTGTGGAGTAGAGCCTGAATGTTTCCTTCAGCTCCAGGTTTTGGAGGAATTTGCATTGTTTTGATCTTGAAACCCTCATAAAGGTTCACCTATTCATGCCCTTAATGGCTGTCACACAGGACAGCTGGGGATGGCACTGCTGTGAATCCATGCTTGTGCTGTGCTGGGACTGCGTGACCTGTTGTCCTTTTAACGTTGGTGAGATGAAGGCAAAAATGGCAAAAAGAAGGAGAAAAATGGCCATGAGTTGGCTCCTCCTCTAGGAAGGCCAAAGCTGCTTCCTGTGTGCTGAGGATGACAGTGGAAGGCAAGGGCAGAGCTGAGGGCATTAGATAACTGATGCAACTGCACTTGAGGACACGGCAAGGAGGTGGGTGGACACGAACAGAGGAGCTGCAGGAGGAAAGCAGCACATCCCCTGCTGAAATCGCTCTCTTAAGGCCATGATTCAGGATAAAGTGCCCCTACCGAGGATGAATCACCGTCTGTGCAATAAGCATCCATTTCCCCTGGGGTGCTGGGGTCCCTGCCCCATCCCTGGGCTGTTTGCTGGGTGATGTGAGCGCAATGGGAACCGCACAGCTGGTCACAGGGTGATGAAGGGGAAGTGAAATTCAAGGCGACGTTACGCAGGATAATGCGATTGCCTCGAGAGAAGTTTAAGGCAGAGATAATGAGAACAAAAGGGAAGCATTTACTGCACTGCAGTCCTCAGAGTTTGGGTGCTGCTATGAGCTGTACTGAAATGAGACAGCTGTGATAAACCCACTTGGAGTGGGTGAGGACTCCTTGTTCTGCTCCTGCAGCACTTGCTGCCAATGTCTTCCAGATCCTACAGAAGGAGCACAGCCATAGCAGGACAATGCCAGGAACAGTCGAAGTAGGAAGAAACTTGCCTGAGAAAATGGAAAGCGGAGCAGTGGGTGCACTGCAAAGTCAGCACTCAGGGTTTGGCCTTCAGAACCACTGAGAAAAACACCAATGATCAGAGGAAAGGAGAGGGAACACATCGCTGTGTGTGCTCTGCAAAGAAATCCATTGAGACGGTGAATCCTGACCTTGCCTGGTGGAAATCTGGGACAGAAATCAGGGCCTTGTGCTGGGCTCTCCATGGGCTCGTGTTGAAATAGCACTTATAAACCAAAGATGCTCCGACTCCCAGCACCAATCTTGGTTTTAATGGTGTGAATCAGAAGTGAGGAGGTGGAATGCAGCAGTGCAGTGTGGCAGGAGGGGCTGGGAGGGAAGAACCGTCAGCCTCAGCCCTGCATCGAGCACAGGCAGTGCGTGGAGGGGCCAGGAGGGGCAGCCGGATCCTGGGCAGGGCTGTGATTTCAGTGCTGGGCTGTTCGTTGGGTGGTGTCACAGAGCTTTGCCTTGGGAAAAATGAGCTGGTGGGGCTCGGCTCAGGTGTCCTCTGCTGGTATCTGTGAAGAAGTGAGAAAATTAACGTCTCAGAATGTTGTCATCGAGAGGGCAAACAGGAGGCATCAGCACAGTGGTTTTCAGACAGAGAGACAGACGGAGACGTGACACCCTAATGGTAAATACAAGCTCAGAAAGCAAATACAGCTCAGCTGTGACATGGCAGGAAATCCCCGGCTGGTGCCAGCAGAGAGCACTGCAGCACAGCCAATGAAAGCACTGAAAAACACAAGAAACAGAGTTGTGCAAACAACGCAGCCAGGGCTCCCCAGCAGCGGTCAGGGCTGGCTGTTATTCCATACGAGCTCCTTGCAGCACAAACCAATTACGTGCCTCTCACAAGTGGCATCTGCGAGCGTTATCTGCTTTCTTTTATAGCTTTAAGAGTAATGCACAGCGCTGGCCGTGCGGCAGGGAGGTTCATTCACTGCCGGGTGGCTGGGAGCGAGCTGGGCAGCAACTTGATGCTGTTTTTCATCTGCACTGGCTCAGTTGGAAGGAGCTGCTTTTTTCTACAGATGGTTCAGTTGATGGTGGCTTTTTTCTTTTTGTAAGCGGTTAAATTATCAGCTGAGATACCCAGAGAATTTAGCAGCAGGTTTTGCACTTCATGCTTGCTAATTGAGGTCCTGTGAACTCACCATTCGTTTTGAAATGGTAAAGAACCACGTGACGTGCCGTTAATTAAGCTCTTCAGCGGTACGCGAATGAACCGCCCCCAGATTTGCAGCAGAGCCCTGACCTGCAGATCCAACGCGGCAGGTTTGGGTTGGTGGCTGAATGCCTTCGTGTTAGGAACGGATGCTTTGCAACCCAAAGCAGTTGGTATTGCTTTGTGATCCGTGTTGGATGCCCATCCCTGTGCTCCCAGCGCCCGTGCTGCCCGCGTGCTTTTAGGTATTTCCCAGCCGCGCAGATCCTGTGATAAGGTGGCCGTTAATAATTCGGGCTGAGAGCTGGCTAAAAGTGCTTTCCGTTAACTTTTTCAAAACATAAAGCACTCGTGACGCAGGTTTGAAGAGCTAATTACTCCGGGGGTGGTTAATTACTCAGGGAACGGCGGCTCCGCTGAGTAGCGTCAGTTGCGAGCGCCCCCTGGCGGTCACCGCCGGAACTCCGGCCGTGTAACCGCGTGAGGTCGTTCCTGTTTCCGTCCTCGCAGGAAAAAAAAAATTCGATAGGATCGATTCCAGTAAAAATCTTTTTTTCTCTGTTTTTTTGTTGTTGTTGTTTGTTTGTTTGTTTTTACTTTTAAGATGCTGAAGTCTGGCCGAAGGGCTTCATCAAGAGCGATTTTTCCTTGTCTGCTTGCTGTTGTGGTAAATAATCAAGGAGATAACAGTACTGAAGAATTTAGCTTAAGGAGTCTAATTCGATGCTTTGGGACTTTTCGCACCTGGGATTATGTATGTTTTTGCTTAGTTTTCTTTCCTGTCCTGGGCCAGGGAGCAGCTTCACATCACTTTCTCTGTTTTATCTGCAATTGGAGGCATGGGAAAAGAAGGAAAACCCCACGGTGCTGCCCCTCTGCGACACTCCCAGCAGCCTTCATCCTGCTTTCCTGACCCAGAGCTTGAGGTAAGCTCCACGTGCTTGCACAGTATCCTAATGAGAGGAACTCAATCCCACTGCCTCAGGTCGCTCCTGGGGGCATTGTGTGTGAAGTGGTTCTTTATGACCTCCTCGGTCACGTTTCTCCCTCCTGGGTCACGTTTCTCTCTCAGGTGCAGCGTGGTTCCATGTGAGCTGGCTTTTAAATGGGGGATGTCATCACATCACTGCCACGTGCTTTCCCTGGCTGGCTGTTGCTGCCCCATAATGTGATGCTGGGGCACCAGCAAAGCCCCCCAGCATGAAGTGGGACACAGCAGGGGCTGCTTCCTGCACTGTTTGTTTTGGTTGCTGAGTGATGACAAGCGAGCAAACAAGATCTGCGTTTCACATCTGCTCCCGAGACTCTTCTTACTCTCTGTAAGTAGCCAAAACATATCAGGAGCTGGTAAGACAACATGCCTGATGGATTTATGCTTTTTTTTTTCATCAGCTTGCTGATAACTTGAAGCTAGATGACAAAACATTTCATAAGCAATCACAGAGTCCATCCCTCGGTGTGTGGGAGTGCTGATCTGAGCAGCTCTGCTCATGGGGAGCTGCTCCCTGCCTTGAGCTGCTGCTCTGCAACCTGCCCCTGTGCCCCTGGCAGTGCTGCAAAGCCTTTGCTTTTCTCACCTATGTATAAACTGACCATAGACACACATCAGTGTATTTTCCCAAGTCCTTCTCTTGCTTTTCGTGATGTTTGGAGAAGTGTTTGTCTTCCCAGCTCCTGCTAGATGTAATTACTCAGAATATCTGTTTTCTGGCCACTTGGTAATAGCTCTGGGATGCCTGTTGGCAGCTAACAAGGTCTGCTGTGACACGGGGAATACGTCCAAGCCTATTTAAATACTCCTTTCTCTGTTGTGTTTGAGTAGATGGCAGTTATCCTTATGGGCACACAGACTGCCCTGAAGGTACTCTGTCATCTTCAGACAAACAAAGCACCTCAGTAGCACCAAATGCTTTCCCACCACCTCCCATCACAGCTGGCAGCGTGCAGGACAGGTGACAAGCAGAGCAGGCTCTGAGCTGGGAATTGAGGCAGTGATATATAATTATGTAGCAGTCTTTTTTTCCCTTTTTCTTTCCCCCTCTTTTTTTCCTCTGTGATTTCTTTAAGCAGAACAGCTGATTCAATGCGTATCTGTGCATTTGCTGAATTTTCTATAGCAAAACTGGCAGCACGCGAGCTGTTCCCCCCCCCAGTGACACAGTATGGCTACAGAACAGCAATGAACACGAAGAAGTTGGGGTGGTACAAGTGTGATCTTTAAACCAGCCCTTCGCTGAGGGTTTTTCCTCTAAGAGCAGAATCACAGCAGTGCTTTACAGCAGCACTGAAAAGTGCCACAACTCCTAAGCAGCTGAGATTTACATTGATGGGTTTTATTCCAGAGCCACCTCCCTCCTCATAAAGCTGCACATCGGTTTTGAGATGCCTGACAAGAGACCACCTGCCTTTCTTCTGATTTATTACTGGAGTCATCTGGTGCCATTTGATTTCCTCCCAGTGTGAAACCATTCATTATTTATACTGCCAAGTACCAGAAATAGCTGTCAGGTGTCCATTCTCAGGTTGGCAACCGCAGGGAGGAAAGCAGAGCGTTGTGAGCATCCCTACCCAAGAGCAAGGTGTAAAAGACAAACTGCCCATGGGGCTGCCTTGGAAGGAGCAAAACCAGAGTGAAGTGCTGTTTCTAAGAAGCAGCTCCAGGGCTGCATGCAGTGAAGCAGTTTGCTGTGGGAATGGCAGAACCCTGCCCGTCTGCTCAGCAGCAGCCCCAGGAGCCCTCTTGGTGCTTTAATTCAACTCAAACCCGTCTGTGCGTTCAGGGCTCCGCTGATCTCTGTCTGTCAGGTTCTCCTGACTTTAAACAGCTGGTTTATTTTGCTTCCCAAATATGTTTCTTGGCCGTGATCCTCCTTTTGCATCTTAAAGCTTCAGTCTTCTGGTTTGTAATGATCTCACAGCTTGAATGGTGACGCAGGCGCTCAGCATCTCTTGTGAGGCCAGTTGTGAGCGTTACCAAAAAGCGGTGGTGGCAGCAAACGAGCTACTCCTGCACAAAGCAGGGGGAGATTTAATAGGAAAACTTCACAGTCGCAGGGTCAGATTGCCTGTTTCTTGTGCGTGATTCCATCAGCGCTGCCTTCTGCATAAAACCAGGTTTGGAGAAAAGGAAAGGCAAAAGGCCAGAGCTGCTGGGAGCTGCAGGAGGTGCAGGGAGCAGGGCCAGGAAAGCCGAGCGTGTAAGGAAAGGTGGTCCTTATGGCAGAGGAAGGCCTGCAGAGATGCAAATGAGGCCCTGAAATCATTCCCACGTGGTGTTTTTCTGAATTAAAATGCTAATATTTTCTCCGGATAGCTGAAAAAATGAAGTCTGCAGTTTCTCGGGTGCTTCTTTTTAATTTTCTTTTCCATAGTCTTCCTCCTCTGGCTAGAAATAATAGTAGTAGATGGGATGGTGTGTGACAGGTTGGTGCAGATGGCTGCCAGCACCAAGAGCTGAGCGGGTGTCCTGCAGGAGCTGATGGCAGCAGAGCGTGCCAGAGGCAGAACCACTGCCAGAACCCGCTTCTGTGTTTGCAGACATCCCCAAATGCTCTGTCCAGGCATCTCGCTGCTATGAGAGGTATTTATTCATCATGGCTTTGGCTCAGCACAGAGACCAGCCCACCTACTGCAGGAGGGCAGTTTTGCGCAGCAGCCAGCAGCACCAAATCCTCTCTCTGTGCATTAAGCATTTTTACATTCCAAAAGCGTTCATTATTTGTCACCCATCATTTGTCTGCTCTTCCTAAAACTGCGGCCAGCAGTGCAGGCTCTCGCTGCTCACTGCCTCTCCCATGGAAATGGACTTTCACAAGCACTGTGTGCTCTGCTGCTGCAGTGCTGCGACTGCAGCCCGTTGGCATGCTGTCAGTTTGCAAAATATTTACTCCTCGAGCATAGGTTTTTCCCTTGGAAAGGCTTTTGCTGTCAGGAGATGGAGGATGGTGTCGTGAGGTGCTGTGCTGCTCGCTGGGAGCAGGCTGGGCTGGCACTGCTTACATCAGCCCATGCTTCCCATTCCGCCCATGAAACTGTTTATCAGCTGTGGTTCATTCCAACATTATTAAACACAGAGGTTCAGTATTTGTTTGCTTCCCTCCCTGTGCTGCAGCAGCCTGTGCTCAGTGCTCACTTTCCCCCCTTAGGAAAAATAAATTAAAAAAAAAAAAACCAAACTTTTTTTGTGCAAAGGAAGGAAGAGAAAATCAGCCTGCTTTCCCGAGGCCACAGAATTTCTCAGATATCCATTTCAAGGTGTTTATTGCAGCCTTTCATCCCGTCCCCTGACTGCTAAGACTTAAATTCCCTGCCTGGCAACAGATGGGATGCCAATGTATTTTTAGCAGTTTGTTTGCTTTGATTGAACCCTTAACCAGTATCCTGCTTTTAAGTCCTTGAGTTGCCCCGGGGGCTCAATGAGAGAGGCTGAACTGTGAGCAGAGACATGCAGGAGCAAAGCTGCCTGCGCAGAGCAGCTATCCCAGCTGTGCTGCAGCTGCCTTGTACTGCTCTGCAAGGAGACCTGTGGTGTGCTGTAGCCATTAGCTGGCATGCTGAGCAATGAGTTCCTCCTGCTTTGGCAGAAAGAAAGCATCCAGTCCACCTCTGCCACATGAAGGGCTGGGTGAGTGTGTCAGCTTTCCTTCAGCCTTCGTTCCTGGTGGCTCTGATAAAGGACAAATGGGCTGGCACTGGGACAAACACACTGCCTTGCTTTTATTCCAGGAGAGCTGCAGTTATGTACAGATCTCTTCTGTCTGAAGCACGAGTCACCAAAAACTTCCTTGCAATTTATAAGGGAAATAAAAGAGAGGGATGAATGGATCCAGCCTGCTCACATCCCAGTGCCTGCGTGCTGCCGCGAGCAAAGCCCCCTTCTGTGGAGATGCAGCCACTGAAATACAATTTTGCATTAAAATTGGAATATCTCACTGCGTGGGAATCTATTACGTATTTGGAGCAATTTACTCCTGTTCAACATACATCAGAATAAAGCAAGACTGTTCTCTGCTGCTTGGGAAGCTGTGAAAAGCTGCAGCAGAGGAGCACACAGAGCTGTGCGTACAACACCAGAGCTCTGCACTGGGGTCTGGCTGAGAAATGAACCATTTCTATTAAAAATCTTTTAATTCTGTCCTCCTTCCATCCACTTGTTCAGCTCTTTGCTTAAGTTTACCTTTGAGTCACAGAGACTTCTTTCAGACCCCTCATTTATGCTTTTCCCCCCCTTAAATTGCTTTTAATAAGCGTAATGGGGAAGCTTTGATTGGATTCCTCACTCAGAGGGTTAATTAGGTATATCTAAATAAGTTACAAAATGCATTCCATTGGACTCCAGTCCATTTCTTCCCTCCAAACTAAAATGTTCTGCTCTCTGGAGAGTTCTTGTTTGAGAATTGACTGAAGGTAATTATTGCAGATAATTAAGATCACTAAGCAAAGTAATTCAATTTTCTTCTTCACCTCTTCTTTCCTCCAAGAAATGTAAATGTCCATGTAACACTTCATCAATAAGAAGCCTTTTAGGAGGCAACGTTGGCCAAGGATGCTACGAAGCTGGAAGAACTGAGTGAAACCCAATAGAAACACTTTGAAAAGTAGTGACTTGTTTCACTGAATGAAGAGTCCCTTGTTCCCAGATGTTGGTTTTGAATTTTGTTGCTCTTTAATTCTGCTTCCACTACAGGGGCAGAGCAGGGACAGCAAGAACACAGGTACAGCCCAATTAGCTGCAGTGCAATCAGCTGTGCTGGGCAGGGCGCAGCTGAAGGGCCTGAAATGATGAGGTTCCATCAGTGCCACCTGTGGAAGCTCTACTGAACAAAGATGGTGTGGAGATGGAGGGCTGAAGCAGTTAAGAGCGTTGGAGGGCTGGGAGAGCTGAACAAGAGAAGGTATTGTGGATTTTTGCTTTGTTTTCCCCCTTTGTTGCTGTGGTTCTTGTGTCTCTGGGTGTTTGTGTACTGTGTAGGAAGTGGAAAAGCCTGAAAGAAAGCTGTTCTGACTTTTTTTTTGTTGGAGTGGGTAGTCAAAGATTAAGAGAGAACTACTGCTCTGTATATCACAGTGCTCTTCATGTCTGCTGGCTGTTCTGTTTAAATCTGGAGGAGGGATGGAGCCAGAAATCCCTTGCTGTGGTGTTCGGTCTGGCGGCTGCCTATCAAACTTCATTTATGTAACCAAAGGAACTGCAAAGCAAGGAGATCTCTACTTGCTCAATGAGGCCCTGGGTTACTCCAGCTCCCCTCAGTCAGATTTTGCTGCTGTTGTTCCTTTTCCTTTATTGCAAACCTTTCTTCTGCTGGCTGTATCCTCTGCCTCCGGGGCAGGTTATGGAGAGCCTTGCTGCTGCTTGTACAGAAAGCATCTTTTGTAGTTTCTGTCCTGTGTTTCCTGTTACATCTCAAACTGTGAGTTCAGGGAGTGCTTGGTCTCCTCCATACAGATTGAGTGGGTACAGAGAAGTGAAAAACAGCAGTGCTGTGACTTAAGAAGCTTTAATTCAGTCCTCCATCCTGGGCTTTAAGCTCCTGCTGAGTCGGAGCCCACTGGTTGCTGTGCTGCCTGGATCATGAGCCCTTACCTTGGGGTGGGAGCTGGGCTCTGCAGCACAGTGGGGATACCTGGCTGGGATGGAGGAATCCTTCATTGCTGTGGTGGGCTGAGTGTGCTAGGAAACAAACTAGGCGCTAAAAACATGGGAGGCATATGTGCATCGTTTGTACTGCCCCAAATCACTTTAGCTCGGAGGATGTGGATTTGGTGCTCATGTTTAACCTTCAGCTGCTTTGACTTCTCTTCTGGGAATCCCCTGGGAGGTGTTGCTGCTTGTAAGGTCACTGATTACTTCAGGTGTGTCCTGGGGAAGTAAAAGGTCTGGGACCAGATCAGTGTTCTTCTGTAGGCAGGACGGAGTGCTCAGATCTCCGAGGAGCAGAGGCTGCTTTCCACAGCAGCGAGCATCCTGCCTGCTCACTCCCAAATCCTGGCAAGGGCTTTTGTGTTGTCTTTTTTCCTTTGGTTTTAGCCATTTTTATAATGACTGCATGCTTCTCTATTAGAGCTTCCTGTGGAGTGCTCATTATAAGTTCTGTTTTACAAGGGCCACTCACTGAAATGCACAAACACTTCAGCAACCTGTCAATGCTCGGCTTTGAAGCTGATGTGGAGCTGAATACCATAGATCTACTATCTTAATTAGTACAAGAGGTTACCAAGATGTTAATACCTGATCTTGCAAGGCTGACAGCGTGCAGTAAAGGTTGTGGAAGCAGGTAACATGTATGATAGAAGGGTTGTGGGCACTGTTGTTCCCACTCAGCTCAAGTCGGTAGGTTGGTATGTGTGTGTGCTTGTTGGCTCTGGTGTAAGCTGGAGACTGGCTGTGGCTTTGGGAGCA